GTCTTTTAAAATAATCATTTACTAACCAAATAGGTAACATCAAGATTTTAGATTTTCAAACGAAACTCAAGTACGGTAATTTTCCAAGAGTATGACCTTGATTAATGAATTTCTTTTATCAAAAACCCTAGTTACAAAATTTTGGTAAGATCTATGGGTGGTTTTTGAGAATGAATTAACAACTAGGCACGCACACGCAATCATTTCAATAATCAATCACTAAGTATCTTATATGATTGTGTATGTATAAACGTATAGCAATATAATAATGTATTGGGGGCGCGGTCGTAAGGTCAATCTGACCCAACGTTTTGAGCTTACGTACCGGATGTTGTTGCTAGCAATCGGATGGGTGACCATCCGGGTTTTTAGCAACACATTCTTGCAACCAACCGTCGCCCGCATAGTTCCAGGCTAATGACCTTAGTAGTTGAAGCCTTAATCAAAATAAAAATAAAATTTTATAATCAAAATATTGATAAAATAAGTTTATTATAAAATATATAATATTAATTATGAACTTATTGAATGTAAACATTACAGAAGTTTTAATGATATCTTTGCTAGTTTTAATAGTATTATAATACTAATTTCTTTCAATTTAAAATTTACCTAGCTAATTAGTTTTCTATTTGATGCATTTAACATATTTATAATTGATAGGTATCCATTTCATAATAAAAAGGTGTATAAGCTGATTTTGAATGTAAGTAATTAGATTCAAGATTAATTTAGATTAATTCGCGTACATTATAGAGTTTTATTGACTAAACTGAATTCAATAGGTTAATTAGATTAGTATTTAATATTCAGATGAGCTATTTTTTAGTTCTGAACAACAACACTTATTTTGAAGGTCAGTGACATATCTAGAGTTAAACAAAACATATTTGATGTAGGTATTCGTTTTGTATTTTTTTTCCAAAACACAGAAAAAATAACGATTAATCGTGTTGTTTTAAATAATACAATTTTAAAAGATTCGCACAAGATCCACACCATTTTAAACTATAGTTAGTTTACCAATAACACTAATTATATGTGGTTACAAATTAATTATTATACATTTTTTTTTTTAATCCCTAACTATTTTATCAAATAAATCTCACTTCATTTATTACTACCTAAATGAATTAATTTTATTGTATTCAATCGTAGCTAATATATTGTATAAGGTTAACCTGTATTTAGTTTCGTGTTAACAATTCTTTAATTTTTGCATTTTGATCACACTGTAGATGTAGAACATAAGTCAACATATAATTCAAACACTTACATTTTTCTTAAGTCCTACAAAATCAACGATAAAGCCGTTATTATATTTCTCATTAAATCCATTACTGTTCACTGTTTGTGAACTACAAAAGATATCATTTTCGTTTAATCATTCGAATAATCCGAATTGAGCTTTATGCTATACCGACATACACACACCATGCCCATGGGTGATAAGCCGGTATAGGTGTGGTGATATCATTTGTGTTAGTTCAATACTTATTTGTATTCAAATGATGCCCTAATTTTTAATTGCATTTGAATACAAATTAACATAGTTGCATCGGGGGAAAACAGTGGAATATTATATGAGTATATACTACTTCAAAATCAATTATGCCTGTTTGAAATTTTTTAATCCAAAATGTACTTATTAATATAAATCCTACATATTCATAATACATAATATTCTTTCAAGTATTACAAAGTAATATTAAAATTAAAGAATTTTTTTTTCACAACCACCAATTAAAACTATATAGGTACTTAGGAATAAAGGCCATTGTTTTGTCTAATATAATATTATGATAACGATTAAATAATTGCTTTCACTGAAATTATAGATATAATCGTATATACAAACGCTTATAAACACAATTATAATTCCAAATAATTAATAAACGAGAATAGCCAAATAATTTTGATCACAATTAAGTTTGTGTGTTAAACAATTATTATTACTAATGTATTTTACGTATAGTAGATACATAATTATTATAATAAAAATGATGTACCTATAATGTCCTATATATTTCACTTATTAAAAGTGCAGCATAATATTGTTATGCTATTTTTAGATTTTATTTACCATCCACTGTTCATTAATATTTAGATTAGAGTTTTGTTCAATGTAAGAAAAGGATATTAAGTTTTTTTCTATTTGGCTTGACTTATACTGAGTTTGAGTTGCAAATTGCATTTGCCACAACCCCTCACAAAAATATTAGTCAACGTCAGCTCTACGCCTCTACTCACAGTAGTAAGTTATAAATATAATTTTATGGTGCAGGGGTAGTGTCAATCTTGGCTTGGATATCTTTTGGCAAGATTCTACAGCTAAGTTTTTATATACTTATACGTTTACTTTTAGAAATAAACTCATACAAACGCATTAGTAGAAACCGGAAAGAAACTTTGTTCGCGATAAAATAAAATATTTCCTGAGGAATAAATCTATCATTTTCGATTACGTAATACTTAAAATGTAAGTCCTGTTCTACGAATAATAATTAGACAGTAGTGAGACAGTGGTAACTACCAATACTAATTTTATTATATTAATAAATATTTTATTATATAAATATAATACAGCCGATATTAACAATCTATGAGCAAAATACTTTGTAATTAAAATACAAATTGTTAGTAAACTCATTGTTTTTTTAATTATTTTCCATTTCACCAACCCCTCTTTTTGTTGTTTGGGCTTGTATATAATATACTTATAATATATTATAGTAAACGATACTTATACCATCGGAGGTCGTTTATGTCCGTGTATTCAAATTTAACGCAATTAGATCATTGGAAGAGTCAGAAGGTAATTTAGAGGCCACGTTGTACAAGTCACATTACGTATAATACAAGGGCCGTAGAATTCAACCTGTTTATTATTTTTTTTTGTTATTACTTTCAGCAATCGTTCAGTTCATGACTTTTAAAAATAACTTGAAACCATTAAATATAATAATATTTTAATGCATCATGAGTTATCGTTATTATTATAATTATATAGTTAGATTTATCAACACGTATAATTGTTCTTTATGGGTGGGTATACCTATCATGTTTTACTTTAACTTGTTGTACTTCCAAATCCAGAACGAGACAAACTATAGTATTGTAACTATCACATTTCAGTCCTTTTATAAGCTTGATATTATATACATTATCATTTAACCTAATTTAATGTTTATCAAAAGTACAATTATATGATATATTTTTATATAATTATAAATATAATAAATATCGACTATTTATTTATTTGGGTTGAAAGTTTTGTCTCATTGAACTATTTGAACCTAACGAATAACAATGACCTCTGCAGAAATGTATCATTGTCCATCAGGTTATCAGGTTTGTCATACAACAGTGCCTATTTCTGAACAAATAATAATAATGAGAACTATAGCAGCAGTAACTAGACCTACCTTATGAAACATGGATGTAGGTCAAGCCGCGCAGCTGATGCGAGCGAAATCTAACGAATGAAAATTAATACGTTCTTTAGAATATCGTTGACAAGTTTAATATGTAATATGCTCACTTTTTCGACGTACATAATATGATGAAGTAATGCGATACAATATCATGAAATATTCTTAAATAACCTTTGTTAAAAAGCATTGTTTGATATTTAAGGGTAAAAATCCCGGCTTTAATATATAATAATATCATACAAATAAGATTCACAATATCAATAACAGTTTCAACATTGTATTCATGAAAAATGAATATTATGAGAAGTATACATATCATATAAACGTAGCTAATAACATTGAAAAAAATATATTTTATTATGTTTTAGATACAAAGAAAACAAGCCTAAAATATTACATGAATAATATTCGAATAACCATTTTCTTTTTTATAAAGAATGTCGTATAATATTAGTTTTTTTTATATATAGTTCTTCATTAATATAAGATTTTATTTAAATATTGAGATCGACTTAATGCATAATTATAGTTTTACATATACGATATACTGTACAATGTGTGTAGATACTGCAATGTTTATATTACTGCCAACGTAACATTCTAAACCTTCCTACCTATATGATGTATCTACAAAATTGCAGCTACATAATATCCAGATGAACCAGACTTCCTTGACGGAATAACACAATTATAATTCATTAAATTTAAAAAAAATAATAGTCGCACTTTATGATATCATATATTATTTAATAAATAAAAATATAGGTACTTACAAGGTGATTTACCCTTTCTATTTTGTATGCTATTTAATTGTTTATTAAAAATATATAAACATTAAACAACCAAACAATATTGAATGCATTTATAATGTTACAATTAAAAAGTGAAATGAAAATTGAATTTGAGTTTAATCCTTAAACGAAATACTTACTGTTGGTCAAGGATTTAATTTAAATTAATTTTCTAACAAAAAAATGAGAGATATTAGAATAACACTATATTATTAATCGTGTTTCTCAGGTAGATTTGTTACGTTGATTACAGTTTTTTTTAACATTCTGTTGAATTGTTTTAAATAATTTATAACAGAGCTGCATAAAATATTAAAATATATATGTTAACTTAATTATTGTTTTTATTGACTTGTACAGTACAAGTTAAAAATAGAATTTACCGATGCATAGAAACTAAATCATTTGAAAAATGTTTGATGTATATGATTACCTAATGTATATATTATAATTTATAAAAAACATTGAAACATTATTACTTTAGATTTTAGTTGTTAAAAACATTTAGATACATTCGAGATTTTTATACATCTACTGCACAACAATTAATACGTATTATGACTTTGGAATAATAATAAATTTAATTATTATTTATTACACATATTGATAGTATACAGTCTACCATCATTGTTATAAGTATTTGATTGATGAATGCATATAAGTACGGGTTTTTAAATTATATTTCTTTAAAGTTTTGACGTTATCAGTTATGCCATACTTTTATTATATGACATAAATTACTACTTAGAATTATAGTAGGTAAAATACTAATGAAATAAAATATAATAGTAAATTTATTTCTATGGTAACTTTATAAAGACGAGCTTTTACTTTTAAATAAAATAAATATACGTCTAACTAACGGCTATACAGAGTGAATCTCATGCCTGTGCAACCCCTCGTGTTTTCTTTTAATAATTTATTTTTATTTTATACAACTATTGTGGTTATTGGAATTTTTAAATAAACTAATAATAAATTTTAAATAAAATAAGACAATATTTTCAAATACTTAGATTTTTATGCGATGTAAGGAATGTCCTGTGGCGTGAGACGAAAAAGAAACGTGATTTTTTACTGTACATTTTTAAGGGTATAATTTTTTTTGAAAATGTTGATGTATATTTTGAAATTGTAACCAGTAGTTTATGAATTACTGAACTTTAGGGATAATATGAGGATAATAATCCATAATATTAGGTTTAAGATTACATATGAAGCTATGATGATTTGAAAGATAGTAATTAATAGTAATCTATTAAAATGTTATACTTTTCGAATATAATAAATACTAAGATAAGCATTACATATGTTGTATGTAAAATTGTAAAACCATTATCAAGTACATTATCATAAGTAGGTATATTAAGCTTAATAACACAAAAACTATTCTCCAATTAGATCCTCCAAAATTTTCAAAAACATAACTGTATTAACAGTTGACAGTATAAAATGTGGTTCTCATTTCAAATTATTCATCACTACAGGTTTTCTTCATATGGTGTAAAATCTAAGTATTTGAAAATAAGATACTACTATACAGTTAACAATTCTAAAAATCATAATTTGAATAAATTTACTATTAAAAAATAAAAATAAGGTAAGAAATGCCACATGCTTGGTGAATCATCCTGTATAGCAGTATTTATTATTAAACAGTTTTATTTAAGCTGCACCAAAACCATGAAGTATGTTACCACAGCTCCAAGAACCTGAAAGCAAAATATGATTTCAATAAATTTATAGTTGTTACAATATTATGAAATATTTAATTCAATTCATGAAATAAATAAAATTTGTCAATATTTAGATAAAATATGACGATAAAAAAATGTTCCCGTTAAGTAAAAAATAAAGATGTCTTACTGATGCAAATAAATCCAATGAAACATTGAAAAATTTTGCTCCAGACACAATCAAAGGCTTTTGGCACTGTTGGCACACTATTTGCACGAATGTTTTAGCTTCTTCGGATCCATCGTACCAGTGGCAACCATAAGCCGCTTCCATAACAGATGAACTCTAAAAATAATCAGAATGTACACAAAATCGAAATTTTATTTAGATTTAAATGTTTATATAGCACATATACAAAATAAAATAGGTGTATTAATAGGTGTATTAATAGGTGTATGATTATTACACTGTTTTGAAATTTTAAATTTTCCCAGTCTACTCTGCAGAGTATTATTATATATAGTATATAGCTGCAATTAAAAAAAAAAACAATCTTATCTTAAGCTTATACTCACTTCTTCGATGAGTTCGTTGCCATGTATACAAAACATAAATATTTGTGCGAAAGAATACATCAAGTATCCGATGGTAGAAAACGCGAACACATTTACTCCGTTGATCTGTTGAAAATTTAAAAATGTATTTTATACATGACATTTTTTTAGATAAAATATGTCAATATGAAAAATATTTTGTTAATTATGATCAATTACTAATGTATTACATACATATACGTCGTTTATAATCGATATGAAGATTTTATTGATTTATAATTAAATTTTAAATTAGTTTCAAGTAGGTACTGATAACGGTATCAAAATGGGAGATTAAACGGAATTATTATACAGGGAGATTCACCAAGCATGCTCACCTCCTTGTTTCTTCAATAATGCAATATTATTCAAAATCTGATTTTTTAATTTTTAAATGTACTTTAAGACCATATTTTCAAATTCTTGAGATTTTTTGTACTAATTAAAGAGTGTTCTGTGAAGACACAAACCTTTGACAACACTCCTATTGAACTATAAATTATACAGTAGGTTATTTTTCTGAAATTTTTGGCGTATCAAAATCAAAATTCGTAGTAGTAGTTTTTGAGTTATTTAACTTTGTGTTCTAATGATAAAAGGTCCTCATTAGAGTTTATAAGATATGGGGGCTATGGTGATCTGAAAATTGTAGTCGTACATAATAATCTATCAATATTAATAATTTGTAAAAATGGCCCAAGTATAATAAATACTAAATCCAATTTTACGTCTTTTTTATTTTTATGCAAAACCAATCTTAATGCCAATATTATCCTTAATACAAACATTTTAATAACTAAGAAACTACTCATTCGAATTTTAAATGTGCTACACCATAATTTTCAAAAAAATGATCTACTCATTTATTTACAGTAAAATGGGGGGGG